ACTCGCCCCCAACGGCCGGGGACTCGCCCCCAAAGGTCTCGGACTCGCCCCCAACGGCCAGGCACTAGCCCCCAACGGCAAGGGACTCGCTCCCAACGGCTGAGGACAAGCCCCAATTAGCCGTGGACTCGCCCCTAACGGCCGGGGTCTCGCCCCCAAAGGCTGGAGGACTCGCCCCAAATAGCCGTGGACACGCCTCCAACCGCTGCGGACACGCCCCCAACGGCCGCGGACACGCCTCCAATGGCTGAGGACACGCCCCCAACCGCTGCGGACACACCTCCAACCGCTGCGGACGCGCCAATGGCACTGCAGGCACGCCCCCAACGGCACTTAGGACACGCCCCCGAATGTCTCGGACACGCCCCCAAGGGCTTCGGACACGCCCCCGCACAATGAAGCCTCTCCTCCMATAACTAAGCCCCGCCCCCTCGTCTAGGCCCCGCCCCTAGGAGGCCCCAGCCCCGCCGACCCAGCCTATGCAGCCCTGCCCCGCCCCACGGCTTGGCCCGGCCACTGGCCCCACCCCCATCCCCTTGGCCCCGCCCCCCCGGCCTCCGGGGCTGAGCCTGGACCGGGCCGCAGGGAGCTAAACGGACCGGGTGGCCACGGGGCCGAGCCCTGGACCGGGTCCTGCCGGCCCCACCATCCCAGTGCGACCGGAAGCCCCCTCAGGGTGCTGGTGCCATCGGCTGTGCCCTCACCGTCCGTCCCGGTGACACCAGGACTGGCTGTGCCCCCCACTGTCCATCCCGGTGACACCAGGACCGGCTGTGCCCCCCACTGTCCATCCCGGTGACACCAGGACCGGCTGTGCCCCTCATGGTCCATCCTGGTGACACCACAACTGGCTGTGCCCTTTGCCGTCCATCCCGGTGACACCAGGACCGGCTGTGCTCCCCACCATCCATCCCAGTGACACAAGGACCGGCTGTGCCCCTCACTGTCCATCCCAGTGACACAAGGACCGGCTGTGCCCCTCACTGTCCATCCCGGTGACACCAGGACCGGCTGTGCCCCTCGCTGTCCATCCCGGTGACACCAGGACCAGCTGTGCCCCTCGCCATCCGTCCCGGTGACACCAGGACCGGCTGTGCTCCCCACCATCCATCCCAGTNCTCGCCATCCGTCCCGGTGACACCAGGACCGGCTGTGCTCCCCACCATCCATCCCAGTGACACCAGGACCGGCTGTGCCCCTCACTGTCCATCCCAGTGACATCAGGACTGGCTGTGCCCCTCATGGTCCATCCTGGTGACAYGAGGACTGGCTGTGCCCCTTGCCGTCCATCCCCGTGACACTGGCACAAGTTGTGCCCCTTGCTGTCCATCCCGGTGACCAGGACCGGCTGTGCCCCCCGCCATCCATCCCGGTGACCAGGACCGGCTGTGCCCCTCACTGTCCATCCTGGTGACACCAGGACCGGCTGTGCCCCTTGCCGTCCACCCAGCAAGGCCGACACAGGCGGCAGCTCCGCAGCGCCGCTCCCGGGAGGGCTCCGCGCACGAGGGCAGCCCGGGAGGCCGCTGGGCCACGCAGATGCCGTCCATGGGCCCGGCCCCCGGGAGCCGCGAAGCCCCCGCGCAGCGCGGGACGGCAGGGCCCACGCTGCCCCAAAACTCCCTGGTGGCGCCTTGGCAAATCTGCCCCGGCACCTCCAGATCCTGTGGGCACCAAGAAATCCCTTCCTCAGACACACGCCACAGCGCCGGGCAGCAGGAAATCGGGCTTGGCCTAAAATGCTGCTTTTTGAGCTAAGCGGTTTGAGGACCGAGCCTAGGAGATTTAACAAGCCCCAACATCAGGGCTTTTTTGGCCCTGATCCACTTTTAATCCACTTGGACTCAAACCAAAGGCTCACGGACACCTCAGAGAATCCCCAAATCCCGGCTTTCCTCGGCCCCAATATGCGATTAACCCTCCTCAAACTCTTTCCCCAGGCCCAAGGTGGCTGAAGTCAAAGGCGGCCGAAGTTGAGCGTGGCATCGCCACAGCCCGGCTGGCACTTTATGGCTCCAGGTCCAAGTCTCTAGGCCCTGGCAAAGAGGTTGTGCCGGCTCCCTTAGCTGCTCSTTCAGGGCTCCTAATAGTTTTCCCACCTTTTGAGGAACAGCAACTAGACCTTCTTGCTCATGGCACCCAGGGCACAATTTCCATGAATTAATTTCCACCACATCACCTAGGAGTAGCAACCTCAAGCACGGATTCATATCCACTGCTAAGRATGGCCAGGAAAAATGCTGGTTAARGTGCCTGAACTGGCTGGAGCAGCTTTTGGGAAGCATCTTATGAGCCCTACATAGGTTGAAAACCTACAAGGCTTTTGGTTTTCGTGGTTTTTAGGATACAAGCTCGTGTAGATGGGCTTAGAGCTCTAGTGGAAAAGACGCAGCAAGAGCTTATACCAGAACCTGAAACGCAGCAGAAACGGGCAGATACTGCCCCCCAAATCAAAGGTCCTTCTGCTTTTTACCTCGAGAAGTGGCCTGTACCTCCACCATCCTCCTTATCCAGCAGCGTGCCAGATTTTTCCATCTCTTGAGGTCACTGTTTAAGGACCAGACTGTGTTAGCTCAAGCACATGTCACATCGGGATGTACATGTTTGACCCCAAGAAATGTACAGATTTTGGGCTGGTTGAACAGAATACACTAATAAAAGCCCGCTGGCACATCCATAGCTTGGCACTCCCTCCGACAGGAATTCCAGCCCTTTTCTTGAAAGGCTAGAGGTCCATCAGGCCAGCTCTAATTCATCCCTTCACTGTAATAACTGAAAGAAACACAGATTAAACGTCATTTAGGTTTGCTGTGCCGGGAACGGGGAACTGTGCGTGAAGCTTTTGTGACGCTGCTTAAAGCCTGACCTCACACTCGGCGCCTCCAAAACGGCGCCTTGTCACCACAGACGCTTTTGAGAACGCCGGAGAGACGAGCGGCTCCYGCTGCAGGACACCCGGCACGTGTGGAGAAGAGAAACTGCGCCAGGGACGCACGCCAGCTGCCTCCAGAGCCAAAGACAGCAGCCAGATTTTGAAAAAAAAATTATTTTATTGGAACTCATCTGAACATCAGATATACCTGGTGTTGGTTAGCAAGAACCGTTTGTACATTTGATATTGATGGTGCCAAAAACCCAAACAGTGACTGACTGGATGAGATGGAAAGTTTCAAAATAAAATAATTAAAAATGCCGGAGAAGGTTAAAACGTGAATGGAAAGGAGGAAAAAAAAAAAATCAGCCAGTCTAAAGATTCAGTGTGAAGGCAAAATAATTCTTGAGAAAACAGAATCCTTTTACAAAATATAAATTTAGTAAGAAAAGGTGGAGAGGGAGGGAGAAAAGGGAGACAGAGAGGAGAGGAAAGAAAAGAAAAATCAAAGATGAGCAGGACAGAGACGCAGAAGCTTACACTGCCCAAATGGCATTAAAACCTAGCTAGAAATCTCACCATCAAATGACACATGCTGGAAGGCCCCGCGCCGCCACRGCTGCTGCCCGGGCACAGAGGGGAGGGCGCTGCGCGGGCAGGCGGCGGGGCCGGCCGGCGCGCACCCTCGGGAGCGCCGGGAACCCTGCGCGGCCGGGGAGGCCGCTGCCGCTCCTCCTACCAAGGCGCGGCGGGACGGGGCTGCGAACATTTAAAATCTAGTCTATTTTAAAACAAGAGCATGCAAGACAGGCCTCCGGGGGAAACCTGCGCTGTTCCCTTTGCTAGAGACTGGCCCAAGGGTCTCCTCGGCGGCTGCAGCTGCTGGCTACTAYGCTTTGGGCTGCAGAGGCGCAGGCCGGGCTAGCAGGGCACAATGACAGTTCTGAGGCGGGTTCCTCGGCGCCGAAAGCCTTCAGGAAAATCATTGTGGAGCTGCTGTTGAAGGGCATTAGCRGCCTTCCTCGAGACTGAAAAAATCGACCAGCAGTCTGTACGTTTAGGTTTTTTTGGTTCAGTACAAATGGAATAAACGTGGCTGCTTAAACACTGTCAGTAAGTCTCCGGTTTCAGAGCAGAGGGAGAGAGGAACCAAACTGCTTTGGGCCCCTAACGGTAACAAAACTGTTGTCCCTGCTTAGCTCTCTGACATCCCTCAGGAAGTGGAAAGCACATGTTTAGGTAGTGTAAGCCTTTTTCCTTTTATTTAGAATACCCTCTTCGTTTAAACAATGTTCCCCCCCCCAGATACAAAGTTCGGCCAGTAAAGATTACATGGAAACTGGAACACGCATCGTATGGAATACAAGATGCACCGGATGAGGAAGTTTAAAAA